CAAAGACATAGTAGGCTACATTACATTAATAGACTAACATCACATGATGGGATGCTTCCAAGTGGTTAACTTATAATGAGAACACCTGGGGAGTCAGAATGACACACATTGAAAGCCATTCACAGCATTACAAACATCTCATGTCCCTAAACATTAAAAGCCTTGTATCCAATGAAAACTACTTCAAGACCAAACATCCGGGACTATTTTATCAACGCGCAGTAATACGTCATCGCCACTGTCATGTTAAGAGGCCATGAACAGTTCAAGAACAACCCAGGTCAAAACTCACTGTTAAAACAAATAGACAGAATGTACAGGTCATGGCTTATGAAGCCGAGTTCAAATATAACGAAGTTGAAAGCGAACTTAAAGAGAAAAGTTAGAGTAACTTATTGATCAAATCCTTTTTTACAGTGCACTCGGTTATAAAACATCACTACCTCCTGATTACAATATATTGGATGGTAGCCTCTGTAAGATTATGAACCCTGCTCTTTATAGGAGAATTCATGATGAAGCATAGCTTATAAGATAATGATGCACATTAAAGTGGGAATACAATACACACTTAATTGTTGACCAAAATGTACGAAATTCAATAAAAGCTGAACAGATGCAGACCTTTGATTTATTAATGAACGTGTTGATGTTACACTAGCAGCAGCACCGCGGTACACAAAGGAACGGAAACAACGCAGCCCGGAGCCTCGTTCTGCGTTCAGGGACACTCATACATTTGTTGGTCTTTGACTCCTTCTGGGGACTCATGAGGCGCATTCACACTGCGGTACTTTTCCCACAAAGGTTCATGTGAACTTAGTTCATGTGAACTCTTTAGTTCGCATGAACTAAGTACAGATCGCGTTCACACTGGAATAAGTCCCTGAGGGAGGATTAGGCAAATGAAGCCGCTGACGTCACTTGTTCTTCTTCTGCTTTGGGTTTACTGGCAGGCCGCAAACCACTTCACGGCGTATACTGCCGCCCAAAGTCCCCGGCCGGAAGTCCCCGGAGTTAGGGACTGGCTTCAGTAGAAGCTGCTGGGACTCCCAGCAGCTTCTACTGAAGCCTTCCGAGTAAATCGCCAGAACGCCGACACCTCCTCATCTCCACCGCTCCCATGTTTTATTTTGTGTTGTGTTAGAAATTAAAATCAATGTTTTGATGGCATAATGTACCTTAAATGTACCTTTAGTTTAAATGCTGTTTTATACTGAAAAACCAGAAGTTCTTGTGCACAACCAGTTAGACTTTTATTCTGAAAATCCTTCACCTCCGGTTAGCATTTAGCATGAGGCTAATATACCATTTCCTATAGAGGTGAATTTAGCAGCGATATGATATGATGTTGCACACCGAAACCTACTGATTTCAACACTACAACTACAGACGTCGAGATATTATTATTGTTGGATATTAAATGAAGGTACAGTTTATTTGAGTACGTTATCGTTTACAGATGTGGGTAGCATGTCACAACATTCGGAACGACCGGAAATCAAATTGCTGTGGAGGATTTCCTGGAGTATTGATTACAGCGTTTAGAATAGGGGTGGGGAACCTCCGGCCTGTATACGCCCCGCGAGATAATTTGGTACGGCCCTCGAGGTAATTTATAAACACACGCAAAAAAGAAAAAAAATTAAGAAATCTAGACCGCAAAAAAATTAAACAAGCGAATGCCTGTTTTTCCTGGCCAAGGTCAGGTTCCTTGAACACAACACGAGCCTAACGTGTCATCACGTGGTATATGTCTCGTCTGACAGGGGTGCAGTTCTGACGGAGTGCACCAGAACGCCGCTCCAGCACTTCAGAAATTGCAGTACCCATAAGGAGCCGTACACATGCCGCCGTTTCTGCGTGGCTGTGTCTTTAGTTGAAAGCCCAGTGGCGATCTGTTCATCTGTCACACTGATCATACAGTCAATAACTGTGTTGTTATTAGCATCTGGTTAGCTAGCTATGCTAACGAATATAATTACATTACATTACATTGCATTTAGCTGACGCTTTTGTCCAAAGCGACTTACAATAAGTACATTCGACCAGGAAGACACAACCTTGAAGAAAACAGAATCATATAAGTATATCAGGTTTCATAGAGCCAAACATTTCAAGTGCTACTCAACTGGCTTTAGGTAATCCAGTCCTTTATTGGTATAAAAGTGCTTCGTTAATCGTTCTAACGCTCGAAGTGGAGTCGAAAGAGATGAGTTTTCAGTTTGCGCCGGAAGATGTGCAAGCTATCTGCCGTCCTGATGTCAATGGGGAGCTCATTCCACCATCTTGGAGCCAGGATAGCAAACCCACGTGTTTTCGCCGATGGGAACTTGGGTCCCCCTCGCAGCGAGGGCGCAACGAGTCGTTTGGCTGATGCAGAGCGTAGTGCACGCGCTGGGGTGTACGGTTTAACCATGTCCTGGATGTAGGAAGGGCCAGATCCATTCGCAGCACGGTAAGCAAGTACCAGTGTCTTGAAGTGGATTCTAGCAGTTACTGGAAGCCAGTGAAGGGAGCGGAGGAGCGGAGTGGTGTGGGAGAATTTAGGAAGGTTGAAGACCAGACGAGCCGCTGCATTCTGGGTGAGCTGCAGAGGTCGGATGGCACATGCAGGTAGACCAGCCAGGAGGGAGTTGCAGTAGTCTAGGCGTGAGATGACGAGAGCCTGGACCAGAACCTGAGTCGCTTTCTGAGTCAGCTGGGGACGTATCTTCTTGATGTTGTAAAGCGTGTATCTGCAGCAACGGGTTGTAGCAGCGATGTTTGCAGTGAAGGACAGGTTGTTATCTAGGGTCACACCCAGATTCCTTGCAGTCTGAGTCGGGGAAACAACTGAGGTGCCGATGTTGATTGTCAGGTCAAGAGTTGGACAATCTTTTCCCGGGAGGAAGAGCAGCTCAGTCTTGTCAAGGTTGAGCTTGAGGTGGTGAGCAGACATCCACTGAGAGATGTCAGCTAGACAAGCAGAGATGCGTGCGACGACCTGGGTCTCTGAGCGGGGAAAGGACAGAATTAATTGGGTGTCGTCAGCGTAGCAGTGGTAAGAAAAACCATGCGGGCTAATGACTGATCCGAGCGAGTTTGTGTACAAGGAGAAGAGGAGGGGACCAAGAACAGAGCCCTGAGGGACCCCCGTAGTTAATTGACAAGGGTCGGACTCAGACCCTCTCCAAGTCACCCTGTAGGTACGGTCTTTCAGGTATGAGGTGAGGAGGGAAAGTGCAGAGCCAGAAACTCCAAGTTTTTGGAGAGTGCGAAGGAGGATCTGATGATTCACCGTGTCGAATGCAGCAGACAGGTCCAACAGGATGATGACAGAGGAGAGGGATGCAGTTTTGGCAGTGTGCAGTTCCTCCGTGACAGCAATGAGAGCAGTTTCTGTGGAGTGACCTGCCTTGAAACCAGACTGGTGCGGATCCAGAAGGTTGTTCTGATTGAGATAACAGGAGAGTTGTTTAAATATAAGAAGCTTTTTCTACAACCAGTGAGGTAAAGGCACATCTTTATATGATCATTATAGTTATACAAAAATAAGAGAATAAAGTAAACAGGTATAAAATACTATATGACAGTAAAAAAAAGTTGTTATTAATAAACAAGAATACAGTTTGAAAGGAGAGTGATTTGTCAAATATTCATAAAGAAAAATAAATCTGCTTCCAGCTCTGTTTCATCTGGGTGTTGAGAGATGTTTCCATAGATCTCTTAATGTTGCTCTCAAAGTGCACCAGATTGATGCTTTCAACTTCAACATTTAAAAACACATCTTCCCGGGAGAGCATGCCCCCCGGACCCCCCTAGAGGAGGTTAGGTCCCCCCCCCCCACACTTAAATCAAGTTCACATGGATAGGAAACTAAATACATTTGCACACATCTTGTTTCCATATCTTTCTGTTTTGGTGGTCATGCCACACCGTGCACGTGCACCTATGCGCGAGTCATGGTGAGATATCTTGATTAAGAGGTTGCTTTTTCTTTGCACAGAATGAAATGAATGGGCTGTGATTATAGTTTTTTTATGCAGAGGTCAATAATTTGTACGGCCCTCTGAGGATATTGTAAAAATTGAAATGGCCCTTGAGAGGAAAAAGGTTCCCCACCTCTGGTTTAGAATGTGTTAAATGAAAAGTCATGAAAGAGTTAAGGAGGAGAAAAGGCGTGTTTAGATATATATTGAATGTACAATGTCTGTATCCTGTGATATGCATAACGGACATTAAATACGCGCAGAGCCGGCCCCCAGGGAGGAGCCAGAAGAGGCTATATAAACAACGAAACCTGAGGGGTTCGGCCTCTTTTCTCTGCTAGCGAGAGCCAGATGCACAGCTGCTTTTCTGTCGGAAAATATCCTGTTTGTGACTTTACCACGCCTTTTTTATTAATTAAAGTACCAATTTGAAAACATCTCAGAGACTCCATTTAGTCTCCTTTTTAAGCTTCTCTTTCCTGGACGCGAGAATAACCATCACAGTTAACAGTTGCCATAAGTTAGTCTCTCTGCGTTTCTGCGCTGGGCTAATGCTAATAATGCTAATGCGAGGATAATAAAATGGCGGCTTCACAAAACTTTTTGGGAGTTTTACGGGGCGTGGTTTGCAATCCGCCCAGCCAATCAGAAATATAGCTCTTTTCTCACAAGAGAGCCGCTCGAAAGTCCCTGCTCTCTAGCAGGGACTTTCGAGCGGGTAAAAAGGTTCACATGAACTAATTTTAGTACCGGCTCTTTTTGGTGTGAACGCGATAAAAGAGTTCACATGAACTAAGTTCACATGAACCTTTGTGGGGAAAGTACCGCAGTGTAAATGCGCCTATGGTGCATTCAGGGACACTCTTACACTCCGTGACTCAATGTGCATGCTGCATTCAGGACTACTCACACACTTTCTGGTCTGAGTCCTTGTGAGAACCTGTGCTGCATTCAGGGACACACACACCTTCTGGTCATTGAGTCCTTGTGAGGACCTGTGCTGCATTCAGGGACACTCATCTTTCAAAGTCATCATGTTTTTGACACTTTAATACAAACAAAAAGGTACAAATATATCTAAGACTCTTCTGGCTGATGTCATGAGTCTCTTTGTGACATCACATAGTGACATCACCTTGCGTCGGCCAATCAGATGTCTTCCTGCTCCGTTCGCTCTTTGGAGGACACCCACCTGCTGACGATCACTTCCTGTTGACAGAATCCAACTTTATTAACACAAGACAAACTTTGTCCTGCAAACAAATCAATGTATTCAACTTTTCTGTCGTTTATTGAAATTTCATTCAACAATCTCCACATATTTGTTCATGTTTTATTCATTAATTGTTAGAAAATATAAAAAGCTGCTTGATTCTCAGTTTCAAAACATCATGACTTTAAATATCTGCTTATTTTTTTAACAGAATCAAACGCAGACTTTATGCAGAATATGACGTGTGGATTCAAATGTGTTATTGAACTATACTCTTTGTACCTGAACACTGAGTCTGCTCAGACACACAGGTGAGTCCAGCTCGGCTTCTGATAGGCCGGCAGGATAGAGGATGTAACACAGCATCAGCTCCTGGAAGACAGAACGCAGGGATCTCAAAACCTCCCCTGAAGAATCACAATCCCTGTTCGTCCCACGAACTCACGTTGTTACAGCGAAAGAGGAAATAAAGAGAACACTATTAGATAAAAGTTACCTTGGAGACGTTGGCTGTGATCCTGCTGAGAGCTGCGAGAGAACGCCATGAAAACGGACGTAACGCAGAGCCCCTGAAGGCACCATCAACCCGCTCGATCACTACAGAGTAACTACGGGAAAAATAACTCTTTTAAAGTGTGTGTGTGTGTGTGTGTGTGTGTGTGTGTGTGTGTGTGTGTGTGTGTGTGTGTGTGTGTGTGTGTGTGTGTGTGTGTGTGTGTGTGTGTGTGTGTGTTACCTGGCGTGGTAGAAAGGAGGTCCTTTCCTGTACAACACTGTAAACACAATGGGACAGTAAATCAGATACATTTTGGAACCGTATTCTTTATTGTGCATCAGACAAGTTTTACACGTATAAGCCGTCAGTTTTTCAAGATCCAAGTTTCAAGTCTCTCATCATGAGCTCAGCAGCTCCAGGGGAGATATGGAGATGAGGAACTGAAGTCTGAAGTGCCTTTTCTTATCAAGCTCCACTTTTGTGGAATCAGCTTCCAGTTTGTGTTCGGGCGGCAGACACCCTATCCGTTTTTAAGAGTGCGCTTAAGACCTTCCTTTTTGATAAAGCTTATAGTTAGGGCTGATTAGATTCAGCCCCTAGTTTTGCTGATATAGGCTTAGTTTGTCGGGGGACATCTTACTTCTTCTTCTCTCTGTCTGTACCTGTGTACTCTCATGTTCCCATTAACCCAGCTTCCCCAAATGTCTTTCTTTTTGGTGTCTGTATACGCCGGGATCCGGAGTCATGGATGATCCTGCGCTCCTCTGTCCTGGATCGCGAGCCCTGGATCTTGAGTCGTGGCTGTGGTCCTGGATCATAGGTCCTGGATGGATATCCTCGTGGATTCATCTTCCTATTATACACACATGCATTTCCAAACATTTGGACTACCTATGTTGCAAATGTATTATCTTTTCAATTTACACACGGCATCTATTGCACGTCTGTCCGTCCTGGGAGAGGGATCCCTCCTCTGTTGCTCTCCCTGAGGTTTCTCCCATTTTTCCCTTTAAACTGTGGGTTTTCTCCGGAAGTTTTTCCTTGTACGATGTGAGGGTCTAAGGACAGAGGGTCTGAGGACAGAGGGTCTAAGGACAGAGGGTCTAAGGCAGTGCTTCTCAAAGTGTGGTCCGCGGACCACTGGTGGTCCGTGAGCGCCCCCTAGTGGTCCGCGAGTATATTGGTAACATTTCACATTTGAAATAAATAAATACATTTAAGTTTTCCGCACTCTCGCGGGAATATCTCCGCAATGGAGCGAGCTTACGTTTCACTTTCGATGGCATGATAAAGCCCAGGGCAACACCTTCATCACACTTGCTGCCACTTGTTTGTACCATTTTCAGGCGATTTGTAATCTGTTCTAGAAAAACGATGCGATTTTGGATATTTGTGGAGTTAGGTGGTCCGCGAGTGTTATTTTATTGGTTAAGTGTCCTTGGTGTGAAAAAGTTTGAGAAACACTGGTCTAAGGAAAGAGGGTCTGAGGACAGAGGGTCTGAGGACAGAGGGTCTAAGGACAGAGGGTCTGAGGACAGAGGGTCTGAGGACAGAGGGTCTAAGGACAGAGGGTCTGAGGACAGAGGGTCTAAGGACAGAGGGTCTAAGGACAGAGGGTATCGTATTGTCATACTGATATTCCGTACAAACTGTGAAGTCCACTGAGACAAATGAAACATTTGTGATATTGGGCTATAAATAAACATTGATTGATTGAAGTCCTCCTCCAACAGAGCAACATGAATATATATAGGACATAGAACAAATAAAATAGAAACAGTGCAAGAAGAGTATATACACGTAAGTTTGTGTGTTTGTTTATGTGTCTTACTGAGGTCCACGCCGTACTTGGCTCCGCCCCCTTCTTTGGGGACCCACCCTTTGCTCCTGAGGTGCTGATAGGCTGAGAACGAGCTGACGAAGTCCGGCCGCAGCGAGCGGAACTTCCTCCACAGCTGGATGATTGACAGGGGCTCCTGACCAATCACAGGAGAGGACATGAACTTTGTCATTCAATAAAACACCACAAGAAGTTTAATTTATTAAATCATTAATCAACGGGTGACACAAAATAAAACTTAAGTTTACTTTAAGGCTAAGGTCAGCGCTGGGTTTGCACACAATTTAATGTGTCTTTGTGTTACACAGGGATGCTACATGCTACATGTTTTAATTCTTCATGCTACATTGCTACAGACTTTTATGATACATTGCTACAGGTTGTAATGCTACATGCTAAAGTGCTATCAAGCAACAGGTTTTAAGGCCACATTGCTACATGCTCTAATTTAGTGGGAATGCTGTTAACACAACTAACTGTTATTCTACGGACGAAAAGTTTATTATTATTCCGCCCTCTTCTCCTCCCACATTGAACATCGCAGAAACTCCGTTCAAACATCAAAACGTTCAGCTCGGTCGGTAATCGATGGCTATTGCTTTTCTCATTCATAACTTTCATAATTCCAGAGATACATCCCATAATGCATCACATGTTTAACATTGAAGTCAATGGAGGAAATCTTCAGACTTCAACAAATCTTCATGCGACTTCAACTGCTAACTGTTCATTCATACTTTCACTCAGAAAACTCATTCCAACTTTCAAATGTTACAAATCTTTCTGACATTATTCGTGTAGAACAACTTTTAAATCTGATTCTTACCTTTAGAGATATTAAACATTGTTCAGACCTTGTTTTAGAGGTTTTCTTCAGATGTTAACATTAACTATTGCGTGATGTCACAGCTAGAGGGTAGGAAATCTTGAAATTTGCCTTCATATATTTTTTTTAAACTGCCATAATTCCCAAACCCTACATTCCTGAGACATCATTCATCATGATAAACGTAGGAAAACATCTCGTAGCTTGAAAAATGACAATTAATTAAGCAAAAAATAATTAAACAAAATGCCTCTTGAGGGCATTAAGTGACAAAAACGTTCAACATTCCTCCATTGAAGCCCATTGTAATTTCAGGCGGTAGCAGCCGCACACCTTTAGTTAAACTGCCAAAAAGGCCACATTATTAACCCAAAAGTACACAAAAATTACACTTCAGATACTCAACTTCCTTGACATGCTTCACGTTTTGAAATGTCACATATCTGTTACGGTTCTTCCACAAAGTGTTCACATGTAAGAGGTTCATCTCTCATTCAGAGCAATGGAAACCTGTGATCTCTACAGAGCTCGTTAGCTCAACTATAAACACCTGTGTAATGGAACACGATGCTGACATGCTCAGAGCAGCAGCCTCCAGGTAGCAGTGTGCTAACAGTCCAGCTGTGAAGACATCTACGGGACAGTTTGGAGATTTCTTCAAATGCCGTTGCCACGGCAACACAATGCTCGCCTTGAAACACGGCTTTCTCATAACTTCAGTGAAAATACTCCAAACAGCCCAGAACTTCACAGGTCTGGTAACGATGCAGCCATCAACGCATCTAAGCGTATTATGGGGTGTCATGAAATGCCGTTGCCATGGCGACAGACCACTCGCCATGAAACATGATGTCGCTGTAAGTCCAATCGACACGGTCCAATCGTCCCCCAATCTTCACTTGTATATCACCGGTCCATGCCTCAACAGCTCTACGCCAGATCTGAGATCTCACCATATGCCGTTTCCATGGAAACGCATCCCTCACTATAAAACATGATGTCACTATAACTCCTATGCAAATGTTCAAAGAGTGCTCAAACTTCACATGTGTGCTAACAGTCCAGCCTTGAAGACATCTACGGGACAATTTTGAGATTTCTTCAAATACCGTTGCCATGGCAACACAATGCTCGCCATGAAACACAGTTTTCTCATAACTTCAGTGAAACTGCTCCAAACGCCCCAAAACTTCACAGGTTTGGTAACGATGCAGCCATCAACGCATCTAAGCGTAGTATGGGGTGTCATCAAATGCCGTTGCCATGGCGACAGATCATTCGCCATCAAGTTATTCCAGAAGTTTGCCGTTCAAATATTCTGCTACTTTTCCAAGCCTTTTCTTCTCTCATCACACATTCAAGCCCCCTGTGTTCATGTATCATTTCAATCTCAATTCTTCACTTTCTTCTTACACATTACATTTCAGCAGTTTAGCGTCAGCTTTTCAGCATAAAGCATTCCCACTAGCAATTTCTTCAGGAATTGCATTCTCTAGTTCTACATTGCTACAGGCTTCAATGCTACCTGCTACAATGCTACAAGCAGGTAGACAAGACAGGCAGACAGACAGTTACCTGGTGCAGGTAGACAGACAGGAAGACAGACAGAACAGACAGACAGACAGACAGACAGACAGACAGACAGACAGACAGACAGACAGACAGACAGACAGACAGACAGACAGACAGACAGACAGACAGACAGACAGACAGACAGACAGACAGACAGACAGACAGACAGACAGACAGACAAGACAGACAGAGACAGATAGACAGATAGACAGACAGACAGACAGACAGACAGACAGACAGACAGACAGACAGACAGACAGAGAGACAGAGAGACAGACAGACAGACAGACAGACAGACAGACAGACAGACAGACAGACAGACAGACAGACAGACAGACAGACAGACAGACAGAGAGAGAGACAGACAGACAGACAGACAGACAGACAGACAGAAGACAGGACAGACAGTTACCTGGTGCAAGTAGACAGACAGACAGACAGACAGACAGACAGACAGACAGACAGACAGACAGACAGACAGTTACCTGGTGCAAGTAGACAGACAGACAGACAGACAGACAGACAGACAGTTACCTGGTGCAGGTAGACAGACAGGCAGACAGACAGACAGACAGTTACCTGGTGCAGGTAGACAGACAGGCAGACAGTTACCTGGTGCAGGTAGACAGACAGGTAGACAGACAGGCAGACAGTTACCTGGTGCAGGTAGACAGACAGGCAGACAGTTACCTGGTGCAGGTAGACAGACAGGCAGACAGTTACCTGGTGCAGGTAGACAGACAGGCAGACAGTTACCTGGTGCAGGTAGACAGACAGGCAGACAGTTACCTGGTGCAGGTAGACAGACAGGCAGCCCAGACTGTAGACCAGGAAGAAGGCCTGCAGGTGTAGACAGACAGAAAGACAGACAGGTGAAGAGGTAGTGTAGTATTGTTTACTTTGTTTTATTAAATGTGAATAACTGAGTGTTACCTCCTCCAGACTGAGCTGCAGGTACTCTGTGAGAGAGAGGGGGGACCTCCGCACCTCCCTGAGCCCCTGAGACACCTGTCAATCAATCAACGCATTCACTTCTCTGAACATTGTAACACACAGTTCCTGCACATTAAAGGTCTCCTATCATGTAAAATGCACTTCTTGATGTCTTCTCTACATCACCGTGTGTCCCCGGTGTGTCCCGGTGTGTCCCGGTGTGTCCCGGTGTGTCCCGGTGTGTCCCGGTGTGTCCCGGTGTGTCCCCGGTGTGTCCCCGGTGTGTCCCCGGTGTGTCCCCGGTGTGTCCCCGGTGTGTCCCCGGTGTGTCAGGAGACTCTCAAAGTGTCAGGAAACAAACCCCTCTCTCTTCTCCTCCGTACCCACATCTCTAAAAACGGGGAACAATGGAGCTGATCCAGATTTGCTGCGTCATGACCACATTACTAAAATGTGGGCGGGCTTTAGACCCACGGGCCAATCAGAAACGTTGCTGTCAGAAACAATGAGACGTGTTCTGGAAGTGATATGGTCTGTGTTTCCATTAGCATGCTAACACTCAGAGCTAACCTGTACTGGAGAGAGTGTGTGTGAAGAAGCAGGAAATCAAAAGGAAGTCACCTTGTGGTAAACCTGAGAGAGAGAGAAGAGTTTGAGCTCCATCCTGTTTCAGAGAGAATCCTTGATGTGGTTTGGAACATGATGTGGAGTTTCATCACGGCAGCATTTAGCTGAGTTTCTGCTGGGAGAGTTCTCCTGATGAGATCTACTCTCTCTCTGAAGCTACTGACCCAGAGTCAGCTCTTTAGGAACAGCTGGAGGAGAGGGGGGGGGGGCTACAAGGACCTGTTTGGGGTTTGGAGCAGGACACTTCAGAGACATGTCCTTAGTAACAGCTGGAAGAGAGGGGGGGGGGCTACAAGGACCTGTTTGGGGTTTGGAGCAGGACACTTCAGAGACATGTCCTTAGTAACAGCTGGAAGAGAGGGGGGGGGGCTACAAGGACCTGTTTGGGGTTTGGAGCAGGACACTTCAGAGACATGTCCTTAGTAACAGCTGGAAGAGAGGGGGGGGGGGCTACAAGGATCTGTTTGGGGTTTGGAGCAGGACACTTCAGAGACATGTCCTTAGTAACAGCTGGAAGAGAGGGGGGGGGGCTACAAGGACCTGTTTGGGGTTTGGAGCAGGACACTTCAGAGACATGTCCTTAGTAACAGCTGGAAGAGAGGGGGGGGGGCTACAAGGACCTGTTTGGGGTTTGGAGCAGGACACTTCAGAGACATGTCCTTAGTAACAGCTGGAAGAGAGGGGGGGGGGGCTACAAGGATCTGTTTGGGGTTTGGAGCAGGACACTTCAGAGACATGTCCTTAGTAACAGCTGGAAGAGAGGGGGGGGGGCTACAAGGATCTGTTTGGGGTTTGGAGCAGGACACTTCAGAGACATGTCCTTAGTAACAGCTGGAAGAGAGGGGGGGGGGGCTACAAGGACCTGTTTGGGGTTTGGAGCAGGACACTTCAGAGACATGTCCTTAGTAACAGCTGGAAGAGAGGGGGGGGGGCTACAAGGATCCTGTTTGGGGTTTGGAGCAGGACACTTCAGAGACATGTCCTTAGTAACAGCTGGAAGAGAGGGGGGGGGGGCTACAAGGATCTGTTTGGGGTTTGGAGCAGGACACTTCAGAGACATGTCCTTAGTAACAGCTGGAAGAGAGGGGGGGGGGCTACAAGGACCTGTTTGGGGTTTGGAGCAGGACACTTCAGAGACATGTCCTTAGTAACAGCTGGAAGAGAGGGGGGGGGGCTACAAGGATCTGTTTGGGGTTTGGAGCAGGACACTTCAGAGACATGTCCTTAGTAACAGCTGGAAGAGAGGGGGGGGGCTACAAGGATCCGGTTTGGGGTTTGGAGCAGGACACTTCAGAGACATGTCCTTAGTAACAGCTGGAAGAGAGGGGGGGGGGCTACAAGGACCTGTTTGGGGTTTGGAGCAGGACACTTCAGAGACATGTCCTTAGTAACAGCTGGGAGAGAGGGGGGGGGGCTACAAGGATCTGTTTGGGGTTTGGAGCAGGACACTTCAGAGACATGTCCTTAGTAACAGCTGGAAGAGAGGGGGGGGGGGCTACAAGGATCTGTTTGGGGTTTGGAGCAGGACACTTCAGAGACATGTCCTTAGTAACAGCTGGAAGAGAGGGGGGGGGCTACAAGGACCTGTTTGGGGTTTGGAGCAGGACACTTCAGAGACATGTCCTTAGTAACAGCTGGAAGAGAGAGGGGGGGGCTACAAGGATCTGTTTGGGGTTTGGAGCAGGACACTTCAGAGACATGTCCTTAGTAACAGCTGGAAGAGAGGGGGGGGGCTACAAGGATCTGTTTGGGGTTTGGAGCAGGACACTTCAGAGACATGTCCTTAGTAACAGCTGGAAGAGAGGGGGGGGGCTACAAGGACCTGTTTGGGGTTTGGAGCAGGACACTTCAGAGACATGTCCTTAGTAACAGCTGGAAGAGAGGGGGGGGGGCTACAAGGATCTGTTTGGGGTTTGGAGCAGGACACTTCAGAGACATGTCCTTAGTAACAGCTGGAAGAGAGGGGGGGGGCTACAAGGATCTGTTTGGGGTTTGGAGCAGGACACTTCAGAGACATGTCCTTAGTAACAGCTGGAAGAGAGGGGGGGGGGCTACAAGGATCTGTTTGGGGTTTAGGAGCAGGACACTTCAGAGACATGTCCTTAGTAACAGCTGGAAGAGAGGGGGGGGGCTACAAGGATCTGTTTGGGGTTTGGAGCAGGACACTTCAGAGACATGTCCTTAGTAACAGCTGGAAGAGAGGGGGGGGGGGCTACAAGGATCTGTTTGGGGTTTAGGAGCAGGACACTTCAGAGACATGTCCTTAGTAACAGCTGGAAGAGAGGGGGGGGGGGCTACAAGGATCTGTTTGGGGTTGGAGCAGGACACTTCAGAGACATGTCCTTAGTAACAGCTGGAAGAGAGGGGGGGGGGGCTACAAGGATCTGTTTGGGGTTTGGAGCAGGACACTTCAGAGACATGTCCTTAGTAACAGCTGGAAGAGAGAGGGGGGGGCTACAAGGATCTGTTTGGGGTTTGGAGCAGGACACTTCAGAGACATGTCCTTAGTAACAGCTGGAAGAGAGGGGGGGGGGCTACAAGGATCTGTTTGGGGTTTGGAGCAGGACACTTCAGAGACATGTCCTTAGTAACAGCTGGAAGAGAGAGGGGGGGGGCTACAAGGATCTGTTGGGGGTTTGGAGCAGGACACTTCAGAGACATGTCCTTAGTAACAGCTGGAAGAGAGAGGGGGGGGGGCTACAAGGATCTGTTTGGGGTTTGGAGCAGGACACTTCAGAGACATGTTTTTATATATTTGTATATATCTGAGACCTATAATATATGCTTGAAAATAGAGACCTTTAAATCTCTCAGCTGCTTTCTAAAACACTTTACAGTTCAGGATGTCTTGTGATGTTCCTCAGGGCTCCGTGTTGGGACCCCTCTTGTTTCCCTGTGTCACACCGCCATCTCTCCTCTGAGGTTCCTCAGGGCTATGTGTTGGGACCCCTCATGTTTCCCTGTGTCACCGCCATCTCTCCTCTGAGGTTCCTCAGGGCTCTGTGTTGGGACCCCTCTTGTTTCCCTGTGTCACCGCCATCTCTCCTCTGAGGTTCCTCAGGGCCTCATGTTTCCCTGTTTCACCACCATCTCTCTGGTTCCTCAGGGTGTGTCTGTGGTTCCTCGGCCCCACCCTCTGGACCGCAGTCCCACCTGGACAGGTGTGGGCCTGGTGAACGTCCCAGAGGGAGCATACCTGGAGTTCACCGTGGACAACATCCCCCACTCAATGGAGTACGACGTCCTGATTCGCTACGAGCCGCAGGTATGACTCCGCCCACCTGCAGAACACTCTCATGTGATTAACATGTGATTTGGCCCTTTACAGGCAGGTATAGATGCATAACTGTGCAGGAGGGTAACATTTCTTTGTGTGTGTGTTTCTGTGTGTGTTTTTTTGTGTGTGTGTGTGTGTGTGTGTGTGTGTGTGTGTGTGTGTGTGTGTGTGTGTGTGTGTGTGTGTGTGTGTGTGGTGTGTGTGTACAGCTGCCTGACCAATGGGAAGAGGTCCTGATGACCGTGCTGAGGCCTGGAACAATCAGAGCGGACAGTCGCTGCGTCAACACCGTTCCCGACGACGACCACCAGACGACCTCGCTGCACCCCGGCTCCCGGTAAGAACACTGTGTATTAGAATAGAATAGAATAGAATCGTTTAATGTCATTATACATGTACAATGAGATAATAATAAATGCTTCTCCTTTCAAGGTGCCATCAAAACAAAAACAAAAACATCACAACATTAAGACAACAAAATACACGCAGCATACCATACTTAGGAATAGGAATAAAGGAATAAGGAATAAAGTGCAGTAATTATGTCCAGGAGTATACAAATAAAACTCTTGTAATGTAATAAATAATAATCGTGTGTATTTATAATAATAGTAATGATATATCTAATAATAGTAATGATGATATATGGTCTGTATAACACTGTGTATTATGGTCGTATAACACTGTTGTATTATGGTCTGTATAACACTGTGTATTATGGCCTGTATGGTCTGTATAAACAACTGTATATTATGGTCTGTATAAACACGTGTATTATGGTCTGTATAACACTGTGTATTATGTCTGTATAACACTGTGTATTATGGCCTGTATGGTCTGTATAACACTGTGTATTATGGTCTGTATAACACTGTGTATTATGGTCTGTATAACACTGTGTATTATGGTCTGTATAAACTGTGTATTATGCCTGTATAACACTGTGTATTATGGTCTGTATAACACTGTGTATTATGGCCTGTATAACACTGTGTATTATGGTCTGTATAACACTGTGTATTATGGCCTGTATGGTCTGTATAACACTGTGTATTATGGTCTGTATAACACTGTGTATTATGGTCTGTATAACACTGTGTATTATGGTCTGTATAACACTGTGTATTATGGCCTGTATGGTCTGTATAACACTGTGTATTATGGTCTGTATAACACTGTGTATTATGGTCTGTATAACACTGTGTATTATGGCCTGTATGGTCTGTATAACACTGTGTATTATGGCCTGTATGGTCTGTATAACACTGTGTATTATGGTCTGTATAACACTGTGTATTATGGTCTGTATAACCTGTGTATTATGGCCTGTATAACACTGTGTATTATGGTCTGTATAACACTGTGTATTATGGTCTGTATAATACTGTGTATTAGGTCTGTATAACACTGTGTATTATGAGTCTGTATAACACTGTGTATTATTGGGGCCTGTATGGTCTGTATAACACTGTGTATTATGGTCTGTATAACACTGTGTATTATGGTCTGTATAACACTGTGTATTATGGCCTGTATAACACTGTGTATTATGGTCTGTATAACACTGTTGTATTATGGCCTGTATGGTCTGTATAACACTGTGTATTATGGTCTGTATAACAATGTGTATTATGGTCTGTATAACACTGTGTATTATGGCCTGTATGGTCTGTATAACACTGTGTATTATGGTCTGTATAACACTGTGTATTATGGTCTGTATAACACTGTGTATTATGGCCTGTATAACACTGTGTATTATGGTCTGTATAACACTGTGTATTATGGTCTGTATAACACTGTGTATTATGGTCTGTATAACACTGTGTATTATGGTCTGTATAACACTGTGTATTATGGCCTGTATGGTCTGTATAACACTGTGTATTATGGTCTGTATAACACTGTGTATTATGGTCTGTATAACACTGTGTATTATGGTCTGTATAACACTGTGTATTATGGCCTGTATAACACTGTGTATTATGGCCTGTATGGTCTGTATAACACTGTGTATTATGGTCTGTATGGCCTGTATAACACTGTGTATTATGGCCTGTATAACACTGTGTATTATGGCCTGTATGGCCTGTATAACACTGTGTATTATGGTCTGTATAACACTGTGTATTATGGTCTGTATAACACTGTGTATTATGGCCTGTATGGTCTGTATAACACTGTGTAATTATGGTCGTATGGCCTGTATAACACTGTGTATATGGCCTGTATAACACTGTGTAGTATGGTCTGTATAACACTGTGTATTATGGTCTGTATAACACTGTGTATTATGGTCTGTATAACACTGTGTATTATGGTCTGTATGGCTGTGTATTATGGCCTGTATAACACTGTGTATTATGGCCTGTATGGTCTGTATAACACTGTGTATTATGGCCTGTATAACACTGTGTATTATGGTCTGTATAACACTGTGTATTATGGCCTGTATGGTCTGTATAACACTGTGTATTATGGTCTGTATAACACTGTGTATTATGGTCTGTATAACACTGTGTATTATGGTCTGTATAACACTGTGTATTATGGTCTGTATAACACTGTGTATTATGGCCTGTATAACACTGTGTATTATGGTCTGTATAACACTGTGTATTATGGTCTGTATAACACTGTGTATTATGGTCTGTATAACACTGTGTTTATGGCCTGTATGGTCTGTATAACACTGTGTATTATGGTCTGTATAACACTGTGTATTATGGTCTGAATAACACTGTGTATTATGGCCTGTATGGTCTGTATAACACTGTGTATTATGGTCTGTATAACACTGTGTATTATGGCCTGTATGGTCTGTATAACACTGTGTATTATGGTCTGTATAACACTGTGTATTATGGCCTGTATGGTCTGTATAACACTGTGTATATGGTCCTGTATAACACTGTGTATTATGGCCTGTATGGTCTGTATAACACTGTGTATTATGGTCTGTATAACCCTGGTTATTATGGTCTGTATAACCTTATTATGTCTGTCTTCAGGCACGTTTCCCTGTCTCGCCCCGTGTGTTTCGAGGGCGTCTCTGAACTACACCGTACGTCTCAGTCTGCCGCTCTACAGTCCGCTCAGTGACGTGCAGTCTCCATACACACTGATCGACTCGGTGAGGACACAAACACACACACACACCACACACACACACACACACACACACACACACACACACACACACACACACACACACACACACACCACACTGATGGACTCGGTGAGGACACACACATATATCACACATACACACACTTACACCACACACACAGACATATATCACACATCACACACACACTTACACCACACACACACATTCATGTCTCCTGTCCTCTGCAGATGGTATTAATGTCTCTTGTCCTCTGCAGATCGTGCTGATGCCTCACTGTAAGAACATGGATCTCTTCTCTTCAGAGGGAGGAGACTCCAGCGGGAAACAGCGGCTGGGAAACGTTTCAGCGTTATCGCTGTCTGGAGAACAGTCAGAGCGTCGTCAAGTCTCCGACCACCGACATCTGCAGCAACTTCATCTTCAGCATCTCTGCCATGCTGCACCAGGGAGCCAAAGGTAGTCCACTTTAAAGAGTCACCTGAAGAGTCACCTTAAAGAGTCCACTTTAAAGAGTCATTTTAAAGAGTCACCTGAAGAGTCACCTTAAAGGGTCATCTGAAGAGTCATCTTAAAGGGTCATCTGAAGAGTCATCTGAAGAGTCATCTGAAGAGTCATCTTAAAGGGTCATCTTAAAGAGTCCACTTTAAAGAGTCACCTTAAAGAGTCCACCTTAAAGAGTCATCTTAAAGAGTCATCTTAAAGGGTAATCTGAAGAGTCATCTGAAGAGTCATCTGAAGAGTCATCCGAAGAGTCACCTTAAAGAGTCCACCTTAAAGAGTCATTTGAAGAGTCATCTTAAAGGGTCATCTGAAGAGTCATCTTAAAGAGTCATCTTAAAGGGTCTCTCAGTGTGTGTGTGTGTGTGTGTGTGTGTGTGTGTGTGTGTGTGTGTGTGTGAGTGACCCTCGGGGCTCTCTGAGCACAGTGTGTGATCTCCTCTAACTCCTCTCTCGTCCTCCCTCTCTCAGAGTGCCGCTGTGACCCTCAGGGCTCTCTGAGCACAGTGTGTGATCCGAGTGGAGGTCAGTGCCGCTGCAGACCCAACGTCTCAGGGAGGAACTGTGACTCCTGCAGCCCGACCACCTTCCAGTTCGGACCCAGCGGCTGCAGAGGTCAGCACTGAGACGTCAGGAATAACACTTTCATAACAAATCATAAATAACACTTTCATAATAGGTTTCAAAATGGGTTGAACCAATTAGTGTTGATTTCGTCAGTTATTTTTTTATTTAGTTTTAGTCTTAGTCCTGTGTTAAATTTCCTTTTTTAGTTTTAGTCATATTTAGTCACCTTCATCCTGTTTTTATTTAGTCAAGTTTTAGTCGACTAAAAGTCTGAGCATTTTAGTTTTATTTTAGTCAAAGAAAACAAATTATTTTAGTCTACTTTTTGTCAGTCTGTACACAAGTCGTCACTCACTCGCTGACGGGGGGGGGGGTGGTATTCGGTTAACGCGACCACTGCTCCCAAGCCCTGTTGTTGCCATTTTATTTTCTGTTAA